AAAAAAAAAAAAAAAAAAGGAAGTGGTATTCTGGGATTTTTTAATTTACACACAAAATCGCATTGCATGCAGGGACATGTAGTTCCCCAATCCCTACCCTGGTTCCCATCTACTTGGAGAGCATAAATCATTACAGGAGCGAGGATTTCACCTTAAAATCTTAAATTCTGTTTGCTCTCTATTGTTCACCCCCCCCCCCCCTTGATTTCGTTCTCGCATCTATCAGTTGCCGGCTCCTTGTGACCAGCAAAGGCCGGGAGGACGCGGACAAAAGGCTGCGGAGGGGCGCGGGGTCGCACTGCGCCTGCGCACCAGCGACGTGCGCAGAGGCTTCTGGGTAAGTGGCTCAGCCGAGCCTGTCAGTTGGGGCTCCGAGGACTGTGTGCCGCGCCGCTCCTCCCAGGATGGCTACCCTGGTTGTAAACAAGGCTGGAGCGGGGCTGGACAGTGGTCGACAGGGCAGCCGGGGAACGGCTGTGGTGAAGGTGAGGGACCTCGCGCGCTCTGTTCTCCACCATGGGCCTCGGCCTCCCTTGGGCTCATCCTGCGGACGCGGCTGCAGCGCTGCGGGCCAGGTTCGGTTGGACGGGACGCGCCGTCTCGGGGCCCCTCTGCCTGGCGGTCGCCCCCTTTATCCCACTGGTTTCGAGTTGCGTGGTCGGCTCGCGCCAGGTGTTAACATCCCACAACAGGGACGTTTGTGAAAAGGACCCTGGGAACCTGAAGGAGTGACTAGAATAGGAGCGCTCTTCCCCCGAGCCCTCTGCTTTTAACCGGGATTTTTTTTTTTTTTTTTCGTTTTTCTTTCTCCCCTGTTTTTGAGACAGGATTTCACTAGACAGTTCAAGCTGGCTTTGAACTAACTTTGTAGCCCGGGCGGGCCTCCCACGACAGTGATCCTCTTGCCTCTGTCGCTTGAGTGTCGGGATTACCGGCCTCCGCTGCCTCCCTCAGTTTGATTAGCGTATTACAATATTAATTGAGCTATTATGATCATCAGGAACTACTTAGTGTTTAGTTTGTCAGTGTATACGAAATAGATACTAATTCCCAATTTATTTGGAAGGAAACTTAGGTTAGATTAACAGTAATGACAAAAGCCCAAGGTTGACTGGCTCCAAAGTCTGTGTTTTTTACTGTTTCATTGATTTTGTAGTCATTCGTGTATTAGTTCTCCCCCCTCCTGGTAGGACAGTTTCAAAACTTAAATTTGTAAAAAAATTTAGATAGGGGAAAAAATAAAACATAATTTCAAAACAAGATAACAGGCAACAGTGTTTAATACATTAGTATTTTTAAATTAGTTGCTCGACAGGTAACAGTGGTTAATACATTACATTTCTTTAGTTACTACAAGATACAGACATTTAGTTATCTAAAATTAGCACACTTTTCATTTTAATGAACTAAGAAATTATATATA